AAGAAAAAAGAAAAGAGAGTATGACAAAAAATATTACCATAAATATGGTCATTTCGAATTATGACCACAATTAAAAACAAAAAATCTTTTTTAAAAAAAGACATCTAGACTAATTTATCAGCCTTCTCTCAGAGTAAAAATCAAAGATAAAAATGTGTACAGCAACTAAAAAAAATATAAACCCCACAACAGATCTCATATACAAGAAAATATAACACTTAAAGGCTAATTACCTTTAAGACTACCAACCACTCTTACTTAAGAGGGATCGCTGGTAGGACTTAATGTACACAAATTCACAAAACTTTCAAGTGATACCAGGAATTAGCCTTGCTCAGCTCAGAGAACTTATCTGAGCTAAAAGAATAGGTACATTGCTGGATTTTAATCAGATGTTCAAGCTATCACTGAACCTGTTGCTTTACACACCTATGTAAATTGTCCATCCTACCTTTTTGTTATACTGGAACACACCTATTCTATTGTTAATAGACTCTCCCACCTATAATAAGTAGGAGTAGTAGCAGTCATGCCGCTCAGTGAGCCAGTCAGTCATGTCGACATTGGACAGTATCAGCCACCACAACTAGATTGCTGCGTCATTAACTATTATATCAAGTTCCTAACGTTATTGTACGTCGAACCTTTTTAGGACCGACTTTGTAAAATACAAGCCTCCACTGTGAAACTACTCTATAACACTTTTGCAGATATTCACTGGTATATGTTGGTATGAATAGTAGCTGGTAGAACAATATTCTCCGTTGCTAAAAGAGTTCCATGTTGTAAGACTGAAACAATAAAATGATAAAAATGTGAAATTAATGTTCAGTTTTGTGATGATCTCCACTTGGCTTTTCAATTTTAGGATTGTTTATTTTATTTATTTATTTATTTTTTATTTTTTTTAATCGGTTCATACCAAGCAAGGTGAGAATGCCTCTATGATGGGATTACTAGGAGTGAAAGAGAATGAGAAGACTTTAGAAGGAACTGAAAAGCCAATCCTGAACAGGAAACCAGGGATAAACCTATAGTCTTGTTCAAAAGACTGAGGAGAACTGTGAACTGGGCAATAGGTGAACATATCTACTATTTGAAAGTTTGAAGTAACCTATTTGATGATTGAGATAATTGTTTTTTCCCAATTGTCAGGGTTCAAGTCCAGGACTTTTGTATGCTGATCTTCAAGACAAACAGAAAAAGATCCATTTCAACCCCTATTTCCTCAATTTAGTTTTGTAGCAGACTAACCTAAGCTTTATAAATATCCCTTTAAAGATCAGATCTAAGAACATAAATGGATCCTTTTCAGATTTAAAAAAAAAAAAAACCCAAAAATCTGCTGCACTTTCCTGATAAAGAGTTGTATATTGAGATACAAGATGTGTTCTCCCTTGACATGGACAGATGAACAAGAATAAACTACACCCCCCTTACATTTAAATAAAAGGGTTCAGTTCAAAATTTCCTGCAAGTTACCTGGATTGACATGCACTGATAAGACACAACAGCTGACAGGTTGTGATAGCAACAACAAAGATGAGGATATTAGTCTGACTATAAATAATGTAAATAACTCCTCATCCAATTCAGATGAGAGGTGACTGGGTGATAATAATAACAAAGATGAGGATATTAGATGACTAAATAATGAAAATCCTCATCCCAAAAATTGATCTATTTATTTTATTCTCCCTGAAATTATCAATCACGTAATAAATTCTTTTTTTCTTCTATATACTATGTCCCTGCAGGTAGTTGGTGATCATGGCTCTCCACATGTGGTAAATTACATCTATATATTGTTTCCTTGTCAAGCAGAGTTTTAGTATATACTGTATTTTCTTGTGTATGATATGAGAAATTTTGAATGTAAATTCCAGGTAAAAATTGTGGGGTCATATTATACACAAGTACATGTTTTCTGAAATTTTTACACAGCTTAAAAAAACTTATTTGAAACAGCAAGATTGCAAATTCCTAGTTTGGAACTGATAATATCAGGAAAGTCGTTGATGAAGATAAGAAACAGTGTAGGTCCAACAATATAGCCCTGGGGTACCCCCACACTAATGTGAAATGAACTAGAAGTGTAACAATATGATTTCTCACACATCTTTAGAAGATAAGGATATAAATTCCTTCCTTTTTAAGTCCACTCAGCTATCTGAGATTTGTAGGAATTTTATTTCCAGTCTATTTTTGAGTGAACTTAAGTGTCAGTGTTTTCAGGATTCATGTCCCCAGTTCACCTTTTGAATTAGGAAACATTAAAATTTTATTTTAGATAGTTATAAAAGTAGACTTTTGAAGATTTGACTACCAAGTTGATTTTGGGGGTAGTCTCAACACTTCTGGATGGGAGGATTGGACCCCAGGATTATCTATATAAGCAGAGAGAGAGGGAGGCAGAAAATTAGGGGTGGGGGAAGTGGTTCCAGCCATGAAAAAAGTAGGTAGTTGACCAGAGGAGTTAAGAGTTGCCCAGCAGCCAGTGACATAAAAACCAGAGTTGCCAGGCCCAGAGGTCAGTGATGTTTGGGAGATAGCAGTTCAGCCAAAGGGAAAGATAAGTGTCGGCTAAATGAGAAATCACATTGTTGTGAACTCCCAACCAGTGTCTTTAAAAACATTTGTTGTCACTAGTATTTGTTGAAAGAAGACGACAAACTGGTGCACATAGCAAGTTGGGTGTATATGCAAATATACGGATGTCATCAAAGGTGCAGTGAAAGATGGATGAGCAGAGAAGGTTATCATAAAACTTGTCACAAATACACCATGAATGGTGTCTTAGAAGCGTGTTTGTTTGACACAACCTTCTTTACAAGATCTGTTAGGAATGATTGGATTAAACTAAATATTTGACCAGAGAGACTGTAGTCCTTGAGCCTGTGGAAGAGGCCAGCAGGTCAAACCCCGTTGAATTCTACAATGAGTGTTTCTTTGTCCATTCATCTTTTAGCTCTACTCCGGTACAGCTACATATATACTACTGTCTATTTGTTACACAATGTTCCAAAATCAGGAAATTTCAGTGGGATTTTTCAGGGGAAATCCAAGGATCAGACTGAAAATCCTGATTCAGAAATAGCTTTAGAGGTATACATCATAATAAAAAAAGACAAAAAACACATCTTATATATTATTATTTTTTTTATTTTTTTTTTATTTTTTTTTTTTTAATTAATCGGTACCCCCTCCCCAATAATGTGCTTAAATTCATACAGTCTAGGTATCATAGCAAAGAGCTCATCTGAACAATTACCATGAAAGTATTTATAAAAAAGGCACTGAGAGGCAACTGTACAGTGGTGGGAAAGTGATTGAAGCCGAGACGCCAGATCAGGACCAATAATATTGCTGATTCTTCTTTCATTCTTATCAAGGAGCTCCAGGAAAATAGCAAGGATGAATGGTAGATTCCTAGATATGTAAGAGAGACTCTGAAGAGAAAAATTGTCTTGCACAACAGTGAACCAACTTTCTTAGCAACTGACCTAGCAATGAATTTAATGTAGTCTTTCTACTTCATGTCAGCTGAGAACATTAGCTTGTTACTAATGAAGTTTAACCTATCCTCATTCCAGTGTGTAGAATATTTCAGATCATGAGATATAGGATTGTTTATGCTTCCATGAACTCAATCCATTCAGAGTTACCATAAAAACAACACCAAATTTCTACATTGATTTTTATTTCTTTTGTTTTATGCCTGTTTTCGGGTTCTTTTTAGTAGCTTAGAAAGCAGACTAATTTTCAGTTGTAAAATAACAAGTGACAACAGATGTATCATCAGTCCCATGACCAGTTCATTCCAGACATTTCCAGAAGAAATTCAAAGGTATTCGTTCATCTGTAGTTTATCTTGGGCAATAAAACCTGACCGAAACCATTCCTCTCCAGGTCAAAACCACAGTTGATGTCCCCCAACTTGACGGCTTGCATGGATCACAGATGCATGACTCTAGATTCCATTGGTGGACCCCCCCTGTCCTAATTATTAACTCCAGTCAAGGAAACTCTCCACTTGGTGAAATTCTGTCATCACCACGCAAGCTGTGGAGCTCAGGTTATTCATTGCGCTCAACTGCTGTTGACTCTACAAGAAGATTTTTCTGCACTTTGACAGGTTTTATTTTGAATCCTACTGGTTAGACAACCAGTAGGATTCTCCTCACCAGAAAAAAACCTGATGGGGGAACCAGTTCAGTTACTGCTAACCTGACCATGTGGTAGGTAATACAGGATGATATGGTACCAGTAACACTTGTAGAGTGACCCGATATAAGTTAATTGTAAAGAGTGCACATATATACTCTGTGTCAATCCAGCCATAAATAATCATATCAGTTTTAAAGGGTATTGTCATGATTGGACTTATCAACCTTTTGTGGGTTATTTAAAGCCAAAACATATTTTGCATTATAAGAGAATTTGTTTGTGAATATTGCATTAACAATTTTTTTGTGAGACAATGATCCTCTCCCCGAAGCGAAGTCGTTCTATTTTCAGTCTAGTAAATCTAACATTAAAATGGTATGCACAAAAGTGAAATCGCAATGCCGTGTTCTTATTCAATTTGATGCGGGCATTTTGCTCAGATTTGTCAGTTATTGTAAAAATCGGTCCTTATACACAACTTTGTATAATAACAGAGCACTAGTAAAAGATATGGAATGTCTTTAGAATAACCTATTAGACTTGGTACCAATGCTTGCTAACAGCATGTGCATTTTCCATGATTGATCGAATCATTTTCTACAGTTTATTAACCTTTTGCAGCTTATTTAAAGCCAGGGAATATTTTCAGATTGTAAGAATTTATGTTTTGAGATAATAATGGTATAGTGATACAAGTCCTAAGTAACTTGGGACGGAAGTGGAGCATTCATACTTTTCCCAACTGAATATAACGAACCCAATAGAAATTGAAATTCTCCTCTCCGATTTAACAATCCTGAGCCATTATCCACTACACCACCTGCACATCCAAGCTTACAGTACCTGGTATTCCCATGTGGTCACCCATCTAGGTACTGACAAGGTTCAACATTGCTTAACTTTGGTGATCATATGGGAACCGGCATTTCAAAGTGATGTGGACATAATCCGCATTTTCTATGGAATAGTAAAACATGTACCATCAAGGAAGTTGCCAATAACACCTACTGAAAGTATTTATGGTTTCACTAAGTGCATCACCTGTCTCAAATTAATTATTTATGGATTAATTATGCAAATATATTGTGTCAAGCACTTTCATGCTCAGTTGTTAAAAAAGGCACTGTGTGCGTATTAACTGATGGAAAAGAAAAAAATATGGGCAGAAAATTGACGCCAGTCTTGAAACCTGTTACATCTTGTTGGACATTTTAGTCCCACATCAGCTGTCGATAAAAACACATGCAATTAGGCAGGTGTTAAGAAGAATCTGAGTTGGTATTAGTTCTGTTTCCTCTGAATGTCTGTTCCTGGATTCTGGTTTACTTTTGGTGAAAGTGTCACCTGCTGATCTGTTCCATGTGCTATTTGCGTTAGCCTCCCGACCTTTTCTTTTTTTCTGGTGATAGTCTCCACCTGCTGATTTGTCCCAGTATTATTTGCATTAGACCCCCCCTATTTTTAGGTGAAAGTGTCATCTGTTGTATTGTTCCACGTGCTATTTGCATTAGCCTCCCCACTTCCAGGTGAGAGTGTTGTTTGAATTGTCCCATGTGCATTTGTTTTAAGCTACTCTTTGTGAAAATATCACCTATCAATTGGCCCCTGTTTATTTGCATTGAACTTCCTATTATCACTTCAATCAACAGATGTTTTGTCATAAATGTATTTGTTAGGAATAAAGCAAAAACGTATGCTTCCAATGAAATCTTTTCTGACAATTTTCTACAACTCTTCATATTTTCCGTATTTTAAAATCTTTTTCAAATAAAATGGCAATGAAATCAAGTTGTAACTATCAGCAGCAGCAGCAGTTGTAGTTATCGAGTTATGTTATCACCAGCAGTTGCAAACCTATGAATACAATTGAGCACGTTTTGTGACTCTGTATTCCTGCTTTTTTTTATCAAGACAGAAAAACAACAGACTAAAATAGTAGGGGTTTTTATAAAATAAGATAGATATTTCTTTAATTTTTTATTTTTAACTTTTTTTTTTATTTTTAACTTTTTTTTTTATTTTTAACTTTTTTTTTTATTTTTAACTTTTTTTTTATTTTTAACTTTTTTTTTTATTTTTAACTTTTTTTTTTATTTTTAACTTTTTTTTTTATTTTTAACTTTTTTTTTATTTTTAACTTTTTTTTTTTTTTTTTTTTTTTTTTTTTTTTTTTTAAAACTTTTTTATTTTTATTTGTGTGTGTGTGTGTGTGTGTGTGTGTGTGTGTGTGTGTAACCCTTTTCACACTGCACTGATACAACACTGATCCAAGGTAGGATTGCTGAATTGTGATACTTTGTGAGCAGAGAGCAATAGTCGCTCTTTAGTGCACAGATACAACAGTAATCCACACATAAATATTTTCCTAATTTTTTACTGTAGCTATGCAAGTATAAATATTGAATATTTTTATAAGTTAATCTCATTTTTGCCACTTCAAAGGGAACAATTAATGATTACAAACATTTTCTCTCACATAAAACAGCAAACTCAAGTTGAAGCTTCTCGTGTAAATAAGAAGAAACAAAGCACAGCCAAACAAAATCAGTTTTGTCACTTATTTGTATAAATCTAAGTTTTGGTGATAGCAGAGGGTTATTCCCAAAACACTAACAATCAGAAGTTTCTTTGTTTAAATTTAGTCCTGGGTATGACGACAAACTACATCTGGCAGCAAGGCTGCTGATCAGTAGATTAGAAGTTTTGGGGAGCATGGAACCATTTCTTAATTACTGTTATTTCCAGGTCCACCCTGACTTGTGATTGAGTCCTAGCCAAGACTGAAGTCAGAATCTGAAGCATTTAAGGAGTCACTGGAGTCTGTGTCAGTAAAACTATACCAATTCTGACTCCAGTTGAATTTATACTTTATGCAAAAAGTCTTAGATTATATCCTTTTTATTTTCATTGTTATTTCTTCTACTGTATATTTACTATTTCCTTTAAAGAAATTCATTTCAACTTCGTTTTGAAGTCACTTTTTTGTAGTTATTTTGTATTTGCAAAGCTATATATGTAAAAAAAGAAAAAAAAACCTGGTATAGAACTTTTATTATGTCTTTTACATCCTGTAAAAGTTTATATTTCAACTTCTGTTATAAAGTAGTTTTATTTTTGTTCTGTACTTATTTTTTATTGTGTGTGTAAAAAGTCTTAGATTATATCATTTTTATTTTTATTGTTATTTCTTCAATATCCTTCCAAAGATTTTGTCTCTAATTCTGTTAGAAATATTTGAAAAATGAATAGGTATGATATAAAAGCCACAATATCTCTATTCTTTGATATAAACCAGTTATAATGATATAGTCCTAATCAAGTTAGGAATGTATACATAGGTTTTATGAGATTTGTAGACCATAATCACTTAATTACATAAAGAGGAGTCAGAGGTGCCAGAAAGTCAAGTGTTTTGTGTTCCAACTCCACTGCTCTGGTCCCAGCTACTGACAAATAGTGACACCCCTTCCTCAACAAAAACAAAACACCATGAAATTTAAAAAATGACATTTTATCTGTAGTTGAAAGCATACAATTGTTTTCAAAATACATTTATCTGAAAAAAAAAAAAAAAATTTAGATTTCAGCATTAAATAACCCATAGAGGTGATGATATGCCGCTAAACAAAACAAACCAACATGAAAGAACACTTTCATGACATTAATCTATATAATATCCTACAATTTCTTAAAGAAATCAAACTGTATTTCAAAATATAACTTGGACAAAACTACAACATAAAACGCATCATCGCCTGTAGTAATCATGTCAACACAAACGTGTATGAACAAAAGCTGAGTATCATCTACCATGTATTCAATTGTGAAAGGAGAATAACATTTTTATTGAAAGCTTCCAAGAAAATTAAATTTTGGCATTAAAATGACCCATAAGGATTTGGAATGCTGTTAAATCAAATGTAAATTACGATCGTCAGGGGAGGGGAAATACTGATTTTAAAATTATGAAAATATAAAACGGAAGGTTCACAATTTCAATATGATAAAAAATGAACAAAATGTCTCCTGGAACAGAGCTGTTTGAGATTTTGAAAGAAAACATCAAATAAAATCGATTTTCCTTCCTTTACACTCTCATATAACAATTATAATTTTTTTTATTGTTTTTTATTTTTAATGCAATTGTACACTCAGTAGAAGGCTCAAGAGCCTCTCAAGATAGGTTGCTGAGTTAGGTTGTATGGGTGTAAAAGGAGAAAGTAGTGCAGATTATGAAGATACATAGGATAGATAACAGTTGACCATAGGCTTGAAGAGGTTAAAAGCAGAGGGATTAGAGAATCATCATTTCGGGAATCTGTTTCACAGTTCTGGGGAAGAAGTTGTCTGACTGGAACTTTCTCCTTATCAATGGAACATGAAGGGAATGAGGATGATTTGATCTTGTGGATGTGGCATGGCAGGTCTTAGCTGTAAAGGTCTGAACTTGCAGAACTTGGAATGTAGCTCATGGAAATAGTGAAGGCTAAAAATGTTTTGGCTGTCAGAAAAGGTTTGTAAGGTGGAAATAATCCCTAACCCATAGAGCTGCATAGATGCAAATGGATTTCAAGACTGGAAAGTGATGATTGGATAGCACCAATCCATTTTTGGCTTAATCTGGCTCTTGTAAATATAGAGCATGGTAGGAGAGTTAGGTACTTTCTGGAGCAGTGTAAAGAATTAACCATTTTCTTTAGCCAAGGGATCATATGTAGGAGTTCTAATTTGGGGATATCAAAATCAAACAAGTGCAGAATTTTAACCTTTACCCCCACTAAATTCTTTCTAGAATTGTTCCCTCATGCCAATGCTTTTTTTTTTTTTTTTTTTTTTTAAGGGGTGCAAAAAACATGAACACCAGTTTTAAAATTGTTATAACTTTTTTTGTATTGTGCATATAGATTTTAATGTTTTTTACACTAATAAAAGAATGGATGACTAATATTTTGATGTAATGCATTACATTTTGCGTACATGTTTTGATGTTCGAAAACAAAAAAAAAATGAAACAAAAAATAAAAAAAAACAAATATATTAACAATTTAACATACTTTAACTTTTATTACTCCTTTTGGAGTTCTGGGGTTCAATAAGAAGCAAAATGGCTAAAAAGGCTTTCATTTTGTGATGTCCTCCCACATCTTTACATACAAGTATACACCAGCATTTGTTTGTGCTTTCTTGTCTCACTGACAAATAAAGTTATTATTTCATTGCTTATAAATAGACAAAATAATTCATCTTCAGAAAGACTATCAGGTATATCCATGGGGCCAGTAGTTTCCATTAGTCAGCCATGGATGATAGTAGCCACTCAGCACTTAGTGGTCATCATTGCTTTCCTCCACGTCACAAGCATGGTTATCATCTCCCAATTACTTCACCATCGATATCCACTTGAGTAAAACCTTCAAAATCATCATCAGTGTCCGAATCAATGAAAAACTCCTGAATAAAAATCTTTATTGAATGTTGACGCGGCCATTTTTGTTTACAAAAATGTTTAACATGGGTTTAATCGGTGTTACCCCTCATGTAGAGTGTAGAAGAATTCAAAATGGTGTCAGAAAACGGAAGTTTAACCTCATTCAAAATTGGGAGTAGGCAATTTCCAGCTTAAAAGTATTTATTTATAACAATCCTCTTGAGGTGATAGAATGCACCATGAGCAGCAAAAGAGAGAATTCTATGGCAGCAATTTTTGCCTCCAGCCAGATAATGGATAAGAACTCTGGGAAGTGTGACACTGAAATCCGAAAGCATATTTGGATAGCCAAAGGTGCTTTTCTAAAGCTAAGCAGAGTACTAAGAAATAGAAAAACTTCACTAGAAACAAAGAAAAGACTACTAAAATGTTACATGATATCTTTTCTCCTATATGGCAGTGAATGTTAGATAATCTCTTCAAAGATGGAGAAAAGACTTGAAGCAACAGAAATATGGTTCTACAGAAGGATGCTGAGGATACCATGGACCCAACATAATGTAAATGACAAAGTTTTAAAGAACATGGAAACGAAAAGGAAACTTATACTTAACAAGAGACTGTTGAAGTTTCTAAGTCGCATAATGAAGAAAGGTTCTTGGAAAATCTGATCCTCACAGTACAGTTTGAAAGCAATAGGGACAGATATAAATTAATTTCTGCATTGGTTTCATTGTTTTGGTACATTTACATCTTGGTAAATTTTGGAAAATGGATCTACAGGTCATATCTATCTTCAGCAGTCAGAAACTGTGGTGGAAACAAAATACTGACAGAACTGCTTACTGCTACTGATAACAGTACCCACCCCCATTGGTCAAGAAAAAAAGTAAAAGGCTGCTCTGCCAGAACAGAGCCAGTGTAAACCCCCGGGACATCGAGTTATGAACAAAAATGCCTACCTGCTTCACCATGAAATAGTTGGGACGGTGAGCATGGTGTTGGCTATGCAAATGATTTCTTTTGCTAGCCAACCACTAAGCTTTTCGACTCCTATAAAAGCAGGCACATTTTCCAGAAAGTAGCAGTCTACCGTATTGACCATATTGTTGGAGTGCCATACATTACCAAGGATTTCTGTTTGTGTTACCCAGGATCGTTTGAAATTCATTTGTCGTGGTTTGTGTTTCTGGTGTCTTTCCTAGGTTTGTACGTGTTCTCATGTGGAAGTCTTGTCCATTCCTTGCTCGTCGTGATCCAATCTTTGATTCTGGTGGGGCTGCTGAGCTTTCCGTTTCTCTTTGTTAGCAGTCACCCAACCAATAAGAAGAAAATGTCTTCAGAAATCTTTCAAATTCTTCAACTTTTCAGAAGTGTGTGATCTCTTTGGTCTCACTGCAGAAGAGATTGAATGATCCCTTTCTTTTTCCACTAAGTGTCTGTTTATATGCTCCTCAATTTTGACTTTTAGTATTTGGTTGCTTTCTTTTACATAGTAACATGTGATGTTTTATAAGCTTTTGGTTATCCACTTGTGAGGAACAAGCTTTTAATAAGATCATAAAGAGTGTTGTTCTATTAAAAATTGCAATGATTAAATGTCTTTGAAGTTATTTAGCTATATTTTCTATATGGTTGGTTTATTGTAGTTACATAGTGTCTCTCAGGTTTAGTCAACAGTTCTCATATGATCACTGAAATTAAACAGCGTGAAGCTTGGTCAGTACTTAGATGGGTGACCACTTGGAAATATCGGGTGCTGGATGCTTGGGTGTGCAAGTGGTGTAATGGATAACTTCAGATATTGGAAATCAGAGAGCTGAGTTCCAATTCCAGTCCAGTTTGTTATATTCACTTATGTGCAATTACCCTTAGGAGAAGTATGAATACCATCTCTTCTCTCCTGAGCTATGGACTAATTAGTTGCACTTGTATCAGTAAATCGTTATCTCCAAAATATTTTTTACAATATAAAAATATTTTCTGGCATTAAATAACCTGCAAAAGGTTGATAAAACATAAAAACAAACAAATCAATATTTGAATATTGGAAAGACATAGAAAGTAAAATCTTTTTCAACTTTAACCTCTGTTGACTGAATTGGTGAATCTCATGAATATTAATGAAGTTGGTTAAATTTTATTTTTAGTTCTCTTTTTTTTATTGCTTTTTTTAATCTTGCTGCATAAATGTTTAGACTGCTAGGAATTATTCACTCAATACTCTCTGATTTGAAATTTAATAAAAAATCTTTTTAAAAAAAAAAACAAAAAGATATCCATGCACTCAAAATTCTCAGTCGTAAATAAATTTAAAATTTTTTATCACACTTGATATTATTACAAGACTTATTTGAATGGTGTATCCTCATCTGTATTGTCTTTATCAGAACATTTCAGTTGAAATGTGGCAAGAACAATGAAGATGAGGATATTAGTGTAATAATGACATTGTCTCATTTTAAAATGTAAAAATCCCTGAAGCCCTGTTTGTTTCAACAGAAACTCTTTGTTTTCCTCCATCTTTCCATTAAAGGCTTTCAGCAGAACATAACATATAACTGCTTTTCAGCAACTACACCAACCTAACCAGTTCTAAAAGAATTATTGATTATTTCCCCACCATAGTTATTGCTGACCAGCAGAGATAAACTGGCTTCGGCTTTACATTGATCATTGACTATTTTCATAGAATCTCTATAAATAAAATAAAATCACTTCTCTTATCATCCTGTTGAATTGTGTATGTCTCTGTGTGTAATACATAAGGAAGGAAAGTGCATGTTGATCTAACAGTCATGCCTATTTTATTGTGCCTGTGCCCATAACCTCAGAGTAGCTGTTGGTGGTATGGCAGTAGAGGTTGAACCTTCCTCCCCCAGTAATCCATAATGTTTTTGTATTGTGGCAGATGACATGAAAGGGTATATGAAATGGAGACATGTCTCATTGAATTCTTTCATAATGAAAAACTTGCATCCATTGAACTTCATGATGCTAAACGTTTGTAGTGATCAAATAATGGATGTGAGCCCAGTTGGGTAGTGGGCAATGTGCTTCTGCAGTACTGATAGTGATATGTGTCTCTGCCAATGAGTGTTTGTAATTAAGGGGGATACTTCGGGAGGAGGGGGTCTTTTAATTTGGATTTGGCATTATTTTTTTATTTTTTTTTCTTTTTTTTTTACGTCGGTGTTTTTTTTTTTTCTTTTCTGACATACACCGCTTATTTATTTAATACTAGCAGAGCTATCCTGATGTTGCCTAGTTATATCAAAATAACTCCAGTGACATACAATTTCCTGTTGAACAATATTAATAATAATGATAATCTTTATATCTAAACCTGACATTATTTAATTTATTATAACAATATATAAAATTTAATTTTATTGTCACTATTTATGGAATCAAGTAGAGAAAATTAAGCATAACCGTAAAGCATATCCAAGTAGCAACAACAATTGAATTTGGCTTAAAAGAAGTAATGAACACTGACAAGAGAAATGATTCCTAAAAGAAAATAGTTGACAGGCAGTAAACCAGTCAAACCACTGAAATGGAGAATGTTCTTTCCTGATCACACTGAGAAAATCTTGGTATGCCGTGCACAGTGAATTTGATTGGCAACATTTGCAGTAGCAATCCGTTCTCAAATTCTTTTCGAGATAAATATATAAAGAAATGAATCATTAATTATGTTCTAAATCTTAATTATTAATTATGTTCTAAATTAATTATGTTCTAAATCTTTTTTGCACATGTGTGTGTTGTTGTTGTTTTCTTTTTTTTTTCTTCTTTTTTTTAATCATTTCAGCATGAGCTAGGCAATAAAGCTACTGAGATGCAATGAATTATCGAGTGTGAGAAAATATGAAAAAGAAAAACATTAAAGAGAGAACAATAAATGAACAGGAATTACAAAGATGATGATTGACATTGTATTTATGTTTTTGAAGATCAAAGTTGACTGGAAAGCAAGAAATAGAGTTCCATAAGTGAGACGTGCAAAGTTACATCTAGCCATTTCGACTGTAAAATGATGAAACTTAAACAAATGTCTGGTTTAAGCTGCAGTACTTAGACTCTTAAAACCATATTTCATATCCAGCATATTTTCTTTTCTGGTGTATCGCAATTAAAACTGAATTGGAAGAAATACATTGGAGTGTGGGGAATGAATAAGGATGAAGACGTAGGTGTGTTCAGAATAAAGATGGACTATTCTTGCTAAAATAAATAGTTTTTTTTATATCAGGTCATCCCATAAGCTCTGTCCGAATTTTGAATGAAGAAAACAAGTGACCAAATGTTACATTTAATTACAGATTCAATCAACAATGTATTTTCCCTGATTATCTATGACTTCCTTCCATCTATTAACAAGCTCACTAATTCCATTACTGTAAAATTCTTTTGGCTTTGATTCGAAGAACTCACAAATGTCAGTTTTAACCTCTTCCTGTGTTACAAAAGCTGTTTCTTCCAAATGATTCTGTAAGCTACGAAACAAATGGTAGTCTGAAGTAGCAAGATCGGGAGAATAAGGTGGATGAAGAATTTTCTTCCAACCAAGTTCTTCAACCTTTTATGACGTGATTCTTGCTGTGTTGTGTCACTCATTGTCCTGATGAAACATTACCTCTTTTCGATTCACTAGAGCAGGTCGTTTTTTTTCCTCAAAGCTTGGTTCAAATGCTCTAATTGCTGACAGTATATTTGAGCATTAATTGTTGCATTAGGTGGTAAGAATTCAAAGTGGATTATCCCTTGGCGATCCCACCAGATTGAAAGAAGAACCTTTTGCCCATGAAGTTCCCTTCTCGGCTGTGGCTGGGGTCCTTCCCCTTTACCAAGCCACTGTCTACGATGCTTAACATTTTGATAAAAGATCTATTTTTCATTGCCAGTCACAAGTCTATCCAAAAAAAGGTGAAACAAGTTGGTGAGAATGGAGAGAAGAGCAGATGTCAACTCGGGATTTGAGGTTGTTTTCAGACAATTCATGAGGCACCCATTTTCCAAGTTTAGGAACTTTTCCAAGTTGTTGAAGATGACAATGAACAGTTGTATGGTTTGAACTGAGAACCACTGCCAATTCCTCAACTGATAAAGCAGGATTTTCTTCAAGGGCTGCTTCAAGAAGCTTTTCATCAAACTCAACTGGACGTCCGGTTCGATCTTCATCTTCAAGGGTGAAATCTCCACCTCTGAATTTTGCAAATCATCTTCTGCAAGTTCTTTCATTCACACATTCCTCTCCATAAACTGAGTGAATGTTTCTAGCTGCTTCGGCTGCTGAGTTTCCTTTCTTGAGTTCATAAAGCATTATGTGCCTCAAATGATTCTTGGGTACTTCCATGTTAGCAGGGTTTTAATCAAACAAAATTTAATTTTATTGTTCTCTGAAATAAAATTTAATCAGTTTAAATGCATCTAAACATAAAAATAATGTTCAGCTCCATTAGACATTATAAAATACTCTTTAAATTTCGTTCATTTTAACAAAAAATTAAAATTCGGACAGAACTTATGGGATGACCTGATAGCTCAAAATTAAAACATGGGACAAGAAATTGGGGAGAGCTGTGATCCTCAATGTTCTGAAAGGACACTGCATGTAAAAGAGGAAATTCAAAAAGAAAACATTTTCTTTTTAATTTAAATGAAAGATATCTTTTATATTCTATTTATTTCAATTTCACTGTCTTTAGCCATTTTCTTGACCTATGCAAAATAGTTATAATAAATGTTTGTTTTTGTATTTTAGGTAATCATGTATTGACAAGTTCTTCCTTATTAACCCCTGACAGCTGAGACATGTGTAATGTTCTTTTCAAGGTAAGTTTCATTCCAACAGTCATTTCGGTTCTTTGATGTTTCTGCTGGCTGTTTGAACAAGAAAATGATGAATTGCTTTTTACATTGACAGTTCTTGCCTGTTAGTTCAGTATCCAAAAATTTTACTATGCAAGCCTAAGTTCTTGTCTCAAACATATTGGAATTTTTTTTCTATTTGCAATGATTTTTGAATCTGGACGGGGTTGGGTGTCAGTATCTTTCCTTGCCATATTTATTTGCAGATTCGTTTTATAAGCATTTAATGCAAACCAGAATGCTTCATCAGTGATGTCGATTCTGTGATCATAAAAAGTTTCAGACCTCCATAACATCTGACTTTCTCTCCCATGGGCCCAACAGAGAGAGATCATTTCTCGATGAGCATTCTGGTATAACTATACGTCTGCATGACTGCAAGAATTGTAACTATTCACACCCACACAAATGCAATCCTTTTATCAAAACTAAAATAATAATCCATGAAAATTTGAAATACACTTTTTTTGTTATATAATCATTATCACCATCCATCAACCTACCTATAGTTGGTTGGAACAAGAAATTAGTACATAATAATGTTAAAAACTATGAAGGAATGCCAGTGGGAATTAAATTAATGAAAGGAGAAACACAAATTTTACTTAGTTATTTTTGCTATGTATTTAGAGATTCTTGATAAAATACAAAGAATCTGCAATGTTATTGATCCTGACCTGGTATTTCGGCTTCAGTCACTTTCCCACTGCTGTAACATAGCTTTCCTCTGCCTCTGCCCATCTCTCATATCAGCTTGCATTGTCAAAATTGGTTTGTTTTGGTTTATATATTCTTTGAAGATGGAATAAAATAAGCCATATTTGTTTAAAAAAAATGCAACTTAAAAAATTGTGCTGTTTATAGATAAGGTCCTGTCAATGATCAATCATGTTAAAAGTGGTTTGCAAAGTTTTGTTCTAGAGATTTTTTGTTGAAAGATGCTCTATAGTCAAGTAGACTACTTGAGATTACTTAAGAAAAAATCAATATTACTTATTTCACAAGACTAGCCAACATTCAAAATATCCAAACCAGGTGTTGAAAATTATTAGCACCTGTTTGGTTATGTGAGTCACTTTGGTGGGTTTTTCCCAAACCAAAAAAGTAATCCATGTTTACTTAATGTCAAAGGTCAAGATGCTTAAAATTCAATAGTATGTTTGCTTAGCTTTGTGCATCTATCATGCAAGTCTTTGTTGACATTGTAAACATTCTGCAAACCTGCAGGCCTTTTCAGAATTAAATTCCTACTTTTCTGTGATTATTGCAAAAATGTGAAAGTTATTATTTTTGTTTGTGGGTGTGTTCAAGACTTTTCTTATGTAAATTAATAAATGGTAATTACTGCTTTGAATAATCATATTTTAACTTTGAACAAGTTTCATAGGAATGCTTGGTTTGGGAGGGCATTTATCTAAAACAATGGCCATTGCATGGAATTTAGTACGAGGAAGAATTGATATTGTCTGATCAAACTATAAAGAAAATCTTCTCTTTTGGAAATCTTGTGATAATATTCAGTAAGAAAGAAAAAAATTTTTATTTCTTCAGTTGAGAATTGGCCATTATTAATGTCAAAGAAATACCATATTTGACAGCATATTAGGTGCACTTTTGTTACTAAAAATATCTTTTACAATTCCCCTGCATCTTATATGCCATATGTAGGTTTAAAATTCATGATAGTCGGCTGAAATTAGCTACCAGGCAACTTCTATTAGCTTAGACTTAAAAGGAACAATGGAACACATGGATGGCAATGCCTGATCATGACCTTGCAGTTACAGGAAGAATAAAAAGACCCAGCATTGCACAAGTCTATGAATGGGTTAAGGAAGCTTGGGATAATATTAGACCAGAAACTGTTGTGAACTCTTTTAAAAAGTGTGGCATTAGCAATGCTCTCTATGGAACAGAAAATGATACATTATTTAACGACGATGATAGTAGAATTGAAAATAAGTATCAGAGTTTTGATAACAAAGACAATAAATTTTATGGATTTGAAAATGAATAAAATTTTAATGGTAACTTTACTGTTTTGCTTATTTGTAATAATTGCTTGATTTTTATTTTGTTTTCTTACCTTTGGATATAATAAAGTTTTTATAGGCCCATGTTCTTTTTTTTCCTGTTATTTTTCATTTAATTGTAATCATGTTTAACCAAAATAATACCTCATGAATATAGCCTAGGCTGTACCATTTACTAATAATTTTCCTAATTTTTTCTTGATCCCCTTCCCTGTTGAAATTGGTGTGCGTGTTATACACCCATGTGTCTTATATGCCATTAAATACGGTACTTCCTTTTGAAATGCTGTGCATTTTTTTTTTTTTTTTTCTGATAAATTAACAATATTAAAAGTAACTTTGAAATTGTCAGAGCAATAACAATAACAAGCATGTTGACTTTGGAAAACTGTAAGATTGAACTAGTATAAAATGATTTTGTGATTTGAATTTTAGATCTGTCTATTTTTCTGAGATGAAGTATTATAACTATTTGCACTATTTACATTGATCGGACTGTTGTCCTTATCTTTATTGTCGTATTCACAATGTTTTGGCTGTTGAATGCTCTAGCCTTCTTCAGGATCTATTTCTGAGACGATGTATTGTAATTATTTATGCTATTTACATTGTTTGGACTGTTTTCGTCATCTTTGTTGTCATATTCACAACATTTGGCAGTTGTATGCTTCGGTTGTATACATTTGATTTCAACCCAAATCCTTTATGGGTAGATTGTTCTAGTTCCACGTGCCATGCCTTTTCTGAATATCTCAGTTTCAGTTATTTTCCTTTAGTGCCTCAACTCTCCAAGTTTTTGCTCACTTCTACTGTTACCAGGTATTGAACTCACAATTCATTGGGTCACGACACTTTTGTATTACTTCAACTAACGCTTTTATCCACTGGGTCATGTGTTCCCAATGATGTGGATATGATAATGAAGATGAGGATAACAGTCCAAACAATATAAATAGTGTAAATAAGAATTTTTGGAAATGGAAAGTTAAGATATTCTCTGGGTAGATAGAGAAAGAATGAACTAAAGCTTAATTTCTCCTTTTTGAAAAATTTAAATTGGCTGCACTATGGTTGACTTTCTGACACTGCTTTAATGCAACATTTTTACCTTCAACTTTCCTTCTGGAAATTCATCAGGCAACAATGGTCTGCCATGTCTAAACAAGGTTTGCAGTTATATCATGCGGAAACACTGGTTCTTGAAGTTAAGTAACATTGAGTCTGGTTAGTACTTAGGTGGGTGACTGCTTGGTAATATCAGGTGTTGTAAGCATAGATTTGTGGGTAGTGTAATGGATAATTGCTCCAAATAAAAAATCAGAGAGTTTGAATTCCAGCCGGGTTTGTTATGTTTACTTAATGCTGGGAAATGTATGAATCTTCTCCCCTCCAGTTATGGGTTAATTAGCAGGAGTTTATCAGTAAATCATTATCTTTCAAATAAATTCTTAGAATATAAAAGTATTTTCTGACTTTAAAGAACTTGCAAAAGGTTGATAAGCCATAAAAAACACATCAATCAATGATCACAGTTTCATTTTTGATAAAATATGCATCATTTCATTGTCAATTTTATAAATATTGAAACATTCTCAGCTTTAAGTTAGATTCCATCGAAATATTAACTCAACTGGGAATTTTAATTCAGCACTTATGGATATCTCTGACTTCGGACCACTCACTCATGGATGTATCACCCACAGCACTTCAGGCAACAACAATGACTCTACCACTGAGTCTTACTTACCATTAATTTATGGATGAAAAAAAATAGTTTTTGTGTGTTATCTTGTTTAGCTCTATTTTGTTTTAATCATTGTTTTTAGCTTTGTGGCTTTTTTGTTATCTTTTAATGATTCATGTCATTTTAAAATCAGATAAAATATCCAACAATTTCATTGTGAAAAGGAACAAACTAAAGAGAAAACAAAAACTATTTTTACTTTAAAAAATAATTTTAAGCATTAGCTTTTTTTAATTTAATTTGTTTTTTTTTTAATTTGTTTTTTTTTTAATTTAATTTGTTTTTTTGTTTTTTTAATTAATGTTTTTTTAATTGTTTTTTAATTTAATTTGTTTTTCTTTTTTTAATTTAATTTTTTTTTTTTTTTTTTTTTTTTTTTTTTTTTTTTTTTTTTTTTTATTTAGCACATTCCTCCCACCCCAAAAAAAGCAATTTGCAAAATTAAAATTACTTCATGGTATATGGTGGAAGGCCAGCATTCTTCTCCCCCCCCAAGGGGGCTATGGGTTAACTAGTAAGAATTGTATTACTAAATCCTTACTACCTAAAAAATTTTTCTTGCAATCTAAAAATATTTTCTGACTTTAAATAACCTGCAAAGGGTTGATAACCTGTAGAAAATGAATAAATCAACAAAAACAAATAGGTATACTGAATAAAGTTTTCAGCAGTAAGATTGCCTACATAGTTTAACATGGTGTTAAAGAAGAAAAGAAAGTTTATTATTGAACCAGTTGGCATGCAGATAGCAGTTCTGCAAAACTCAGAGCTGAAAAGATAAGTTTGAACACATCTTATTTTTATATCTAAATTTTTGCTATGTTTATGGAAGAAAAGTGTTCAATATCAAAATATATAGTATTTATATGAGGGTAAGTAAAACAAATTATCCACACTTTCACCATAACATATCTTTAGTTTTTTCACATTGCCTTCTACTCAGGCGTGCTACTGTTGCCAACTGATCAAAGTTTAAGCTTGATTCCACCAGATTTCATGCTTCTGTTACAGTGTAAACATGCCCACTTCACTGGCAGTGTGCACCAAGAAGGAACAAAGAACAGATTATAATTATAAGAACACATGAAAAATTAAATAAAACAAACTTAACTGTAGTATCTTGTCAGTCATTTTTAATGAAACTTGTATAAAAGAGGGTTTGCTGCCTAAATACACAACATATATAC